AGTTATGTGCTCTATTATGCATAAAAGTTCAAGTCAGATGACCTTTGTGTGGGGATGGCAATCAAGGGTGTCTCTTTCTTGATAACAATCCCGAACTTCTCTGAAAGATCAAGCTCTTCGCCCTCTGGCAAGTGCCAATTGAATGAATGCAAAAGTGAAGCCAACACATACATCACCATTTTCTCTGCAAGAGGAATGCCAGCACATATTCTCCTCCCTGATCCAAATGGAAGATACTGAAAATTGTTGCCGGTGTAGTCCCATTTGTTGTCGTCACCCAAGAACCTCTCCGGCCTAAACTCTGATGGATTGTCCCAAAAGTTAGGGTCCCTTTGGATTGCCCAAACGTTCAAAAACACCCTAGTGCCCTTTGGTATGCTGTATCCGCCAACTACACAAGATTGGCTAGAACACCGAGGGACTAAGAGAGGAAGTGAAGGGTGTAATCGAAATGTTTCCTTCACGACCGCATCTAAGTAGAGTAATTTGGGCATATGGGACTCTTCTACAAAGTTGTTCATTCCCACAATGCCTGATAATTCTTCTTGGACTTTTTTCATTATCGGTGGGTTATGCATGATCTCCGTCATCACCCACTCCACCATGGTGGCTGTAGTGTCTGTTCCCCCCACTACAATGTCCTGTTGTAAACATTTGCAAGCACAATTTTAAGTTCACGGATTGAGAATTTCATTAATTTAGATGCATAAGTTTCTATTGTTGAAACAAATCTATTATTGCAAGCATTTCTTAATTGGCAGTTTGAGAATGCATTTACCCAAAACAATAATGTGTTTAAAAAAGTTCCATCCTTAAATTTTAGGGGCATTTGTTTATAAATATTTTTTCACTTACTTACATTTCACTTAATTCAAATTATTTTTTATACTTTATTTTTTTATACTCTAATGAGTTCTATGAGTGACATAATTATGAAAATACTCCTAACAAGTTGGTGAAATCTAATGAGGAGATGGATCAGCAAGATGAAAATGAGGAAGAGGAGTATTGACTCCTTTTGACTAAAGCAAAAGAAACCTTGTTAATGGGACATAAATTGCAGATTGATTTTGGGGAAAGAGAAGGATTTTATCGAGTTAGAGATGAGCAACAAAACCAAAATCAACAAGAAAACTAAATAGAGAGAGAGAGAGAGTTAGTTAGTTAGATACTTAGGTCTCGTTTTGGGAACCATCTTTTTTAGTCAAAAGGTCAAAAAGTTACTAAATTAGTCAAAAAGTCAATAATCCATACTAAAAAGTCAAAGATTTTTTTTTTTTTCTACTTTTTGCACATCTTTTCGTAAAAAGTCAAAAAATTATCCCAAACATACTAATTTTTTTATCTCATATTTTAGCCAAATAACTAAAAAATTACTAAATTAACCTATTTCCAAACGAGACCTTAATTACCGGGGTGCAAGTAATTAATTATTAGAAGGGTAATGGGATGTGATGGAAAGCAGGGGATGGTGTTGGTTCTGTTGTGAAAAGTTTTTGATTGATCAAAGTGAGTGGGGGTAGGGCGTGTAAAATATGGCCCAATTTATTAAAATTGTATCGATTCGTATTAATTTGCAATTGTTGTAATCGCTAGTTGCAGTTTAAATTTTAAAATTTATAATTCGTCGACTGAATCGTTCCATTCTGTTATAGTTAATACACACACATATATATATATTTTAACTTCCATTGAACTATCAATGTAAAAATGAATGTGATAGAGATTTAATATATGAAATTTATTACAAATTAGTAGTTATATATATAAAACATATTATATAAAATTAGTTTGTGTTATATATCTAAAAATAATTATATAAATTAGTGTTATATATTATGCAAATATTTAATAATTAGTTAAAATATTTTTCAATCCGTTAATTTGTCAAAATCTATCTAAATTGCAAATTGTTAATTTATTAATCCGTTATTCAATTTATAATTTTATTCTCATATCGTTAATTGTACCGGAGCTATTGTGAGTGAGGGTATGATTTGGTTTGAAGGGAGGAATCAATTTTTAGAGGGTTAGTGGGATGTGATGGTAAGCAGATTCACCGAGAGTGAAACAGGAATTCACGATATCACTGAGTTTTGCATAAAATTCATCGAACGTCTCATCGTCGCGCATAAAAAGGGTTTCAAAGGCGGACGTGAGACGTTGAAGTTTTGCCCTTTTAACAGAGGTGGTACCTTCGTGAATCGTTTCAAGAATATCCCACGCCTCTTTTGCTATTTCACACGTGCAAATTCGACAGAATTCTTCAGGTGTGACAGAGCAGAAGAGGGAGTTTAGAGCTTTGCTGTTCCAACTCGAATTCTGGTAATCGGTTGTGTCCCATTTATCAAGGGGTTTAGGAATATCAATCCCATCAACGGTGATTGTAGGTTCACTCCACCCAAAGATTACGGAGTGCCAAACTTTCTCATCGATGGATTTTAAAAATGCTCTCATACGAGCTTTCCAATAAGAATAGTTTGTACCGTCAAGTAAAGGGGGTCTATGAGTGGAGTTACCTTCACGAATAGAATCCATGATACTAATCACACAAAATCACACTCCTATAGTTTTGAAAAAACAAAGAGTGACCCGCTCTGATACCAATTGAAAATCCTACGTGATTTGTGATTAGATCAAGATAAACTTATTCCAAAACCCAATAAATTCAAAACACTCAACCTAAAATCATCAAACACTTACGAGAGTGATTTTAGTTTGTTTGTTTTTGAGAATAAACAATAAATTGACACAAACGATTTTTTACGTGGAAAAAACCACAATTGAAGAACCTTCAATTGTAATCAAAAACCACGGGCGAACCGCCACTATCAATCCACTACTGAAGAACGAAAAGATTACAAAGAAATCATACAAATTACCCAACCCTAGTCAATTTGTCTCTGAATCTTCTGTAACTCTTTTCACCACACCTTCGTCACGGAATTGATTCTGAAGTTGATTCCACACCACAACTTCACTTGTCGAATTAACGACTGCGTAGACTCAAACGCCTTTTGGATCCTACGCTTTGATCTTCGGAATCCACCGAAGAGAACTCACTTGAAACTTAAGAAGCAACCTCCTTGATGTATGAATCTCAATGCATAAGTTCAGAACTCTCTTAAGAACATCAAGGAAAAAAACTATCAAAAATCTCCCAAGAAACCTTTAAACACAACCCTAGTTTGTTTAGATCAGATCTAGGAAAAACGTCACTCACAAAAACACCTTTAACAGCTTTAAATAGAAATCTGGATCCGCGATCTCCGCTCGAGCTCACAACAGCCCGCTCGAGCGGACTGACCAAAAACGGCATATGAATAAGCTGAGATGCGCTCGAGCGTATGATGATCCGCTCAAGCGTAAAATCGCACCCACCAGTATCTGTGCTTGCCCTGTCAAAATACTGAGACCTGCTAATCTACGCTCGAGCTCAAAAGTCTCCGCTCGAGCGGACAGTACAAAAACACAAAAAAATACTTTTGAATCAACATAAGGTTTTGTCTCCGGATTTGACAACATAGGGACCTAACAGGACTTATAGTCCAAAATTGAGATTTGGCATTGTCCCAAAATGTACCAGTTTGAAAGTGTTGAAATTGAATTAATTGATGTATGCATTATGTACTAGCTAAAATTTTTAAATTACATAAACCTTATAGATAGCAAGATAAATCAAGGTTTTTGTTAGTAATTTTTTTTTTTTTTAACGAACGTCTGGTAGTTTGTTAGACTAATTTCTTGATATATACAGTCTCTTATCTTACATATATCATATAATTATTAGGCCAACATCCAATGAAAACTTAAAGGATAATAAGGAATAAAATACATCTTTTATGAAAGCCATAGCCTTCGACTAACTAAAACAACCTAATTGAGTGTGAATTTGTTCACATAGTGTAAACAAAATATTACGTGACTCATTTGCATTGTTCACATTGTGTGAACAAATTCACACTCCAATCTAATTGGTTAAAGATTAAAGGGTTGCCCTAAGAATAATATCTTTGACATTTACCCTATACCTTTAAAAAAATCACTTATTTACTCAAATTAAAGTAGACTCAAATTGTTTTCAAACATTTTGTGACTTTCAAAGTTATTTTATATGTTATTATTGAATTTTTTACATAAATTTATACTTAAATATAAGTGTGTCTATTGGAGTCGTCCATATAAAGTATTTTTTAAAAAAAATTGAGTCAATATTAGAGATGACCTAATGAATAAAGAGCACTCTTACATAATGTAATGCTTGGGCCCAACTTTTTGTATTGCGGAGATTACTTCTTCTATTTCATCCTACTTATAGTTAACAAAATTTATAAAGTTCTCCAAAATATATATATATATATATATATATTCTTAATTTTTGAGTGATATAGTTGAGAGCATGACTGTTATAAGTAAGGGACTGAATTTCATTTTTCTTAAAAACTATCATTATAATACAAAGGTCGGAGCTCAATCTCATTTTCGAAAGGTTTCAATTACTTTTATTTAATTGCATGTTAAAAAACATAAAATGAGAAAAGAACCTAAGCGAGATTAATGTGAAAGAATAATGTTGGAGGGGAATCAAGATCCTTTCCTTAAGCTTTCTCCTTCACTGTTTACTTGCAGAGTTATTGGGCTCATTTTCGGGCCTAATTTTGATGATTTGAACCGTTCATATTTTAAGATTTATTTAGTACATTATACCTGTAAAAAATTAAATTGATCGGATATCAGAAACTATATGTTTAGATCATCAAACTAAAAACTATTTTTTTTTTAAATTTAATAAATAATTTTCTTAACACATGTTTTTTGATATTCGATCAATTTGATTTTTTACAGGTATAATATACTTAATAAATCTTAAAATATGAACGATTCAGATAATTAAAATTGGGTCCAAAAATAGACCAAATAACCTTGCAAGTAAGAAGTGAAGGAGAGAACTCAAAAAGCGAATCGTGATTCGTTGGAGAGTGTCTTCCACGCGCCTAATTATAATGCAGTATTTTCGGAGTCATTATCAATGAATGGATGCAGCATATATATATCCTATCATTCGAGTAATTGTTCTGTCTGTCGGAAATCCTATGTTGGCGGTGCGTCTAATCAGTAGTAAGAGGCTAAAAATTATATGGTGTTAAAAATTAAAAAAAAAATGATAGAAAAATAACATAATTTTATTGGAAGGACACAGTTGATCTACTTAATTCATAGGATAATTTCTACTTTCACTGGGTTGGCCTTAAATTTAAATTTAAGAAAATTTGATATGATAGATTCCCTTTTAATAACTCAAATTACTTATCTTATAAAATTCTCACCATATATTATTTATTGAAAAGATTAGATCACTTTAATAATCATAATTTTTATTTTATTTTATCATGTTTGTCTTCATTTTTTTTTGGGTGACAAACATGTTAAAGCAAAAATAATAAGATTATCTATATGATGGATTTAAATACCTATAAGTCTTGTACACATTTTAAAGGCACTAATAAGTTCTAAAATATTTATTTTGTCTTTTTGTATATATTGATAAGAGAAAAAGGAGAACGACATATAGGTAAATAAAAGTCTGGTCAACAAGATCGGTCCGTAAGTCTTCCAAATTTTTTTGTATTAATGATATATACAAATAGTTCTATAAAATTGAACGATTTAAATTATCAAAATAAAACTATAATGGTCTCACAAACTCTTCAAAAATTTAAATTTAAGAGAAATTCAATCCATATTAATTTACATCATATATTGACTGGTTTGTAGTTAAATTTTTAGCTGTCATTCAATTGAATTATTCTTCAACAGCACTATAGTCCTTTTATCTTCTTCTTCTTTTTTTTCTTTTTGTGTGTTCTCCTATAATTGTTTCTAATTAATTATGGTGGTTCATATATAATATTGGAATTCAAATATATATATATATATATATATATAAGATTGAGACTACATTTCATCAAAATTTACCGAAAAAAATAAAAAGGTGAGATTTTAAATTTTACTTTTTATTTCTTGTTTTGTTTTTTCTTTTGGCAGACAATAGTTAATTGAAGTCAAATCTAACGTAGTGACTAAAAAATAAAATATAAGAAAAAGTTTAATCTACTTTCATAAAAGGAAAAAAAAAAAAAAAAAAAAAAAAAAAAAGATTTCTGACTGACACCCACACTAATGCAGGCTACAACTTGATTTTAATTTGGAGAACTATTGTTTCAGTGTAAAGAAAAAGAATATCAATTTTATGAAAAAAATATGAAACTCTCTTTAATGTTGTAAAGTTCTAAGTAATGTTAAATCATTTTCACTAATTATTAGTGTCTTATATGTTCTTTAATCTGAGAGGGTAATTTGTCAACAAATTGGGTCGAGGTAGGAAAAGTCTTCTTTGGAAATTAGGCTACACAATGGGCTGAGATAAGAGCTGATGTAGCTCGGTCTTGGGCTAAGAAGACGCTAGGTCGGTCAGAGATGGGTTGCTAGGAGTTGGACCTAGCTATCTGAAGGTAGTCCTTTATCAGACCGAGATGTTGTCAATGGAGAGGGCTGAGCTATCTGTAGCTCGGCAGGGTGCAATTTGGTAAATTGGATTCCGGTCACACGGCTCGAACGGCAGGGGACCGAGATAAGGTAGCTCGGTCAGGAATGTATATCCGAGCATAAGGGAGTGGCCATCTCACTTAGCTTACAGTGATGAGGGTGTTCTAAGGGTAAACATTATCCTTGGGCATGAGACTCTTAGAAGGACTCTGCTAAGGAGAGTTAGAGTCTTACTAGGATTGTGCAAACCATCTTACTTGGTTGGTAGTGAGTAGAGTGTTATCAGGATAGACACTCTTCACTGGGAGTGTGATTCCTAAGATGACTCTTATAAGGAGAGTTGAAATCCTACTAGGATTGTGCCAGGCAGAATCTATAAAAGCTCATGACAAGACCAATGGACAGGTGTCATAATTCTTACTCTAGAATACACAGAGCTTTTGTGTCTATTTTCTATTTGCTGACTTAGGCATCGGAGAGGTTTTCGGCACACACTCGCCGGCTAGCTCACATTTGTGTTTTCAGGTAGTAAAGCGACGACGTTTGGAGGAGTGCAAACTTGATCAACAGGATTATATAAGAAGATTATTTTGTACTCGTACAATTGGCGCCGTCTATAGGAAACGCAATCACAAAGAACAAACCTCTTGATTAAGTTTTCTTTCAACTGATTTCAATGGCACACAATGAAGACTTGTCACACTCTGTCATTGATGGGCAAACCCTGGAGGGGGGCGGAAGGCGCAAAGGCTTACCTTTTATCCCGCCCATGGTAGAGTTAGATCCCCAGGGATGAAACCCGATGAGGGATACCCATTAAAGACGGGGCTCCAGTCATCGTCGCCCCCAAAGCCCTGAAAGGTAGAGGTGAAGGTTGGATCCTCAAGTTCTAGAAGAACGGGTAAGGGAGCAAGACGAATTGATATGGAGGATGGCGGCAGACATGGAGACGATGAAGCACCAGATAAAAGGCAAAAGGATGGCAACAAAAG